TTGATTACAGTCAGCACAGGTGTGGAGCCCTGTGGCCATGTGCTGAGCTGGGGACCCTTCCTTGCCTTCTTTAATATTAAATGAGATGAAATAAAGGCAGATCCTAGGATTTCTGACCCAGCCCCCTCAGGTCCCATGAGTGAGAACCAAGTGTAAGAGAGGTAGGGACCTGTCGGCATCTCCTATTGAGAGAAACAATCCTTCCTTTTTCCCTATCTTATCAGCCTGGCATCATTTCCCCACTGCTCCCTGTAGGAACTCTCAGCTGAAACTGTCCCACATTCAAAACCCTCTTCAAATCCTCCCTATACCTTAAGGCCACGTTTTTCCTGAGTCTTCCCTGACCTTGTCCCCCCTGCGCAGAGCCCTGCAGTGTCCAGGCTGCCTCCGGCTACTCTCAGAGGCTGGCCACCTGCTCTACAAGGCGGAGCGGCAGCCTTTGAGGAGACTTCAAAATCCAGATGCCTGGGCCCTGCCCCCAGGGACTTTGATCCCCAAGCCATAGAGAGAGGTTTCTATGGGTAAGCATTTTGCTGGAGTTATTTTTACGTATAGAAACTACGTTTTTATTGAAAAAGCAATACATGCATGTGTTTAAACATTTCAAACTTTGTAGAAAAAAGTGCCCAGTGAAATATGTGTCTCTCTCCCGCTCTCCACTCCTAGAAAATCACTATGAACAGTCTTGATGTTTCCTTCCAGAAATATCTTCATATGCAGGCAGCTGTGTCCATAACATCCCTTTCTATTACACAAACGTTTGGTAGCATATTCTCTCCCTACAGCCTGCCATTCTGTACTTTGTCTTCTTTACACAAGTCTGTGTCTGTTGTAGATGCACACAGGTCCATGGCCCCCTTTTCCATGACCGTGTGACAGTCACACTGTTAGATGGCCCACCAGTCGTTTGTCCAGTCCTCTACTGGAGGACATTTAGGTTGTTTCCAGTCTCGCTGCTGTGAGCAGTGCTGCAGCGAGTGCCCTTGCCCACGTGTACGTATGCGGGTGTGCCTGCCTGCGTGAAACTCGTTACAAAGAGTCTGTGCACCTAACATTTTGTGAGATAGTTTGAATTGCCTTCTTTGGCATTCTGAAAATGTGTATTTTTTTAAAAAGTACCCTGCCTTCCCTAGATTCAAGTTCATTTCCTTAGTTATTGGCCCAGGGGGTTGGCCAGTGTCACTCAGCAGCCCCTGGCAATGAGGTGTTTCCAGAGTAAGGGGTAGCTGAGAGGAAGTGAGGAATGAAGGGAAGAAATGGGCTGGAGGGAACTCTCTTACAGGTACCTGGGGACCTGTTGATGACTTGGTCTCCAGGGAGAAGCATCCCCCCTCCCACACTGCATCCTCCTTCCTGCATTTCTTGGGCATGGGCTGCACGGGGCCAGTGAACTCATTCATTCAGCAAATATTCACTGAGCTCCTGAATCCCAGTACAGGCTGGGCCAGTAGGTTCCTGCCCTTCTCTGAGCCTCAGTTTTTTCATCTGAAAAGTGGGGAGGTTCATCCGTGCCTTTCTCATGTCACCAGGCTAGTGGGAAGATTTGGTAAACCAGCCAGTGGGGAGCCCCCATAAAATAGATTATAGTGGTCTTAGCTAGACACTGTGCCAGGCACCCTGGAGTTGCGGAGTCTGATGTTAGTTCCAGTCCTGGGTGGGCTGCCTTGAGTCTTAGCAGATGGCCTGGTCTGCCCTCAGATTGGGAATTTGGGGGCAGCCGTTGGTGGGTGTCGCCACTTGCTGTGCCAGGACAGTCAGGCTCCTGCCTAGGATGCATTTGCTCTGCCCTAGGATGCTGGAACTCTCCAGGGCCCGCCTCAGGATGAAGGTGATCAGATGACAGGTGAGGAAGAGGTAGTCAGGGAGGCCAGGAGGGTCCCCACACCGAGGCCAGTTTTGTCTCCTCCAAGCCAAGAGAAAGGTCCTTTAGCGTCCCTTACAGGGCATTTCTACGGCTCCCTCTCTGCCTTCAGCGGTGGTAGGGATGAGGAAGGAGAAGTTCTCTAATTTTTCTAGTTCAAAATGACTAGTTTAAAATCACGAGCCTAGTTCCTCCCTCCCATTTTATCAATGGGAAAACTAAGTCTTGGAGTTGAGGGCCTCCTCCCAGGTGAGTGGTCAGCCTTAACTGAAATTAGAAGCCAGGGGTTCAGCCCTCCTCAGCCTTACCTCTCCCCATCTTTCCCACATCGTCCCAGTCTTTAGTTTCACTTTGGGGTTAAAAAACCAAAGTGAAAGAGAAAGGCAAAGCCGGAAGCAGCTGCTTCAGACCCAGCCCAGTCTGGGATTGGCCCTGGGGGACCCAGGCCGAGCTGGCCTCCCAGGAGGGGAGCAGGCCTCTTCTCCCTCTTGCTCTGGAGGCCTGGCAGTGGCTGGGAGCCCAGTAGGGCCCCACGGGTGAGGCGCCAGGCTACAGACGCGCTGGCGTTGTGGTGCCGCTGTCTGGGAGACAGCCAGTCGGACGGGTTCCCTGGTGAAAGTCAGCCTCACCCGGGTGTGGTCACAGGTGAGGAGCCTTTTAAACGCCCATCCTTCCGGGGCAGGGTTGAGCTGGGCCTATGCTGGCCTGGGGAAGAAATCCTGGCTTCCCAAAACCAGCTTTCACGGAACAGTTCCACTCTTCCTGAAGGTAAGAGCTAGGGCCCTGTCTCCACTGTGAAGACTTTTAAACTTTCGGTCACTGTGGTGGGGAGGGGGGGGCACTTACCTCAATTCCTGGCGGTTTCTTAAGGACCCAGTCGGCCTGAAAGCCTTTTTGCTTTCTTGGTTCCGGTCCCAGCCCCAAGAACTTGGCGAGGACAGGGTTTGGGGGAGCAGGAGCCATGGCTTCTTCCTGAGTTTTTAGGTGACCTCAGGCAAGAGCCTCTCCAGCTCTGGGCTTCAGATTCCCCATTGGTTTCTTGGCAGGAGGAGTTCCTTATAGCTCTGCTGTTCAGTTGAATCAGTTTTGGCCCCTTGGAAGCTAGCGAGTATCTTAACACCTGATTTGGTTGGCCTGGGTATTTCAAAGATTAGCTGTTATCTAACTCGCTGAGGTCTTGAGTTCCTATTTCTCTGTGCTTTTTCTAAGAAAATTCTCAGACTTGCCAAAGCAGATACAGTATCAGTTTTGTTGCTTCAACAAATACAGTTTCTGTGTACCTCTCTTGTCTGCACAATCACAAGGTCCCCAGACACAGAGCCATTTTGGTTCAAGGCTGCTCCCTGAGGGCACACACTGAGCCCAGGGTGGGAGATCGATCAGGTGGGTCCCCGGTGAAGGACTGCATTGATGATCCACACCTGGCCATGCGCCTCTGGAATGCAGAAAGCTCACACTGATAAAGCCCGGCTTTAAGGCTGAGCCAGGCACTGGGGGAGGAGCCCAGAGGTGCAGTCAGGAGCTTAGGTCTAGTGTCCTACTGCTGGGGTTTAGATCCTGGGCAGCCACTGACAGCTGTGAGACCTTGGGCAGGTTCCTTAACCTCTCTAGGCCTCAGTTTCTTCACTTTCAAAATAGAGCTGATAATATTACTGACAGTTTCAATGTGAGGACAAGAGAAAAATGTGTGTAACGCATTGAGCACAGTATCTAGTACAGAGGAACCACTGAAAAAATGTTAGCTGCTGCTATTACATCCAAGGGAGGAGAGAAGACGTGAAATAGCTACAGACTGTCCATGTCCCATGCCTGGAGACAGCGATGTAGGTGGACTGGATGGGGTGTTTGGAAGGACACCAAGTTATTGTTTGCCAAGTGCAGGGCTCTGATGGGGACTCTGGAGTGAATCAAGGCAGGCTTTCGGGAGGAGGTGGCCTTCAAAACCTCAGAAGCTGGGTAGGATCCGGATGGATGGAGATTTTGAGAAGACACCCTGGGGTATGGGCGTGCCCTTCGTAGGGGAGGGGAAGATATTGTGGGTTGGGGAGGGATGGCAGGGGTTGGCTGTCCAGGGGCCAGGAGAGCCGAGATCAAGCTAGAATGCCTGCCGAGGGCCATTAGAGTCCATCAGGCACTCATGGCCGGGCACTCAGAGCCAGAGCTTGTCTCTGGAGGGTCATCACTCCTCAGGCCGGTTTCCTGCTGGAGCCCATTACTGAGTGTGCTGTGAAGAGATTTGTGAATTCCTGCCTCTCCTGGAACTTTCTTGCCTTCCCAGTCTTCCTACACTTCATGACGTGGTATTGCCCTGCACAGCGGTGTGGTAGCAATCTGGAGGTGCCTGCCTGCCTGGGGGCAGTTGTGGGCCAGGGTGGGGTAGGAGGAGCGGGGCTTGTCTGACAGCACCTATAAAAGCTGGCTGCCTCCGCTCCTGCTTCCCCTGCAGTTTCCTCAACGGGGTCACACATAGCCGTGCATGGGGACAGTCCGGGGAAGGGGGCTTGAGTTCATCCCAGCCAGTTCCTCCCTCCTCACCACCCGACCTCCAAACAGCCACCACCTCTTTTTCCAAACGGTCAGCCATTCCTGTGCTCAGAGAGCCCGGCGCTGAGCCCCGGGGGAGGGGAGAGAACAAGACACACTTGGTCTCTTTCCTCAAGGAGCTTCTGTCCAGCTTGGAGTCCCCATCCCAGCAGGTGACAAATACGCGAGATACTGTCTGCTTGCGAGAAGAGCCCTGAAGGAAACAAATAGATGCTGAGAGGGGCCTATTCAGAGAGGATGGGGAGGACAAGTCGGGGAAGGTGAGGTGGCCAGTGGAAAGAGGCAGTCTGGCAGAGTGGGAACAGCAGGGGGGTCCGGACCCTCAGGTGGAAAGTGTTTAGCATATTGAGGAACAAGGAGTGATCTGCAAGGTCAGGCAGGGCCTCATCATCTCAGTGACCTTGTTTGCTCTGAAGCAAACAACTTTGCCCTGTAGGAGCCCAAGGTGTTAATGGATTAAGAGGTGTTTTTGGTTTTGTTTTAAAATTAACATCAGAACTCCCAAATACTTACCTTCTGATTGGTTTTCATACTAATCCCTAAGTCATCAAGAAAAGGCTTCTTCAGCACTCCGTATTTTTTTTTTTTTTAAGATTTTATTTATTTATTTGACAGGGAGAGACACAGCCAGAGAGGGAACACAAGCAGGGGGAGTGGGAGAGGGAGAAGCAGGCTTCCCGCGGAACAGGGAGTCCAATGCGGGGCTCGATCCCAGGACCCTGGGATCATGACCTGAGCTGAAGGCAGACGCTTAACAGCTGAGCCACCCAGGCGCCCCTTCAGCACTCCGTATTTATTGCGCACTTCCTCTCACATACTCCCTCACAGTTCACGAAGCTTTGTTGCTTCTTTTGGCAGTTTGTTTGTTTGCAGTTATTATTGCTGTTTTTAGAGGTGATGGAACAGAGAGGTTAAGTGACTTGCCCAAAGTCACACAGCTTAATCAAGATTTGAAGTCTTGGGTCACTGTTCTTTCTATTCTACCACACTACTGTGTAAGAAGGCCAAAGCAGAAGTTTCTATTTCTTTTTAGCAAGGTTGCAATTCTAAAATGATCACAGTTTAAAAAGTTTGGGTATAGAATGATATAATAGTAATTGTGTCCAGGCAATGAGATTAGAATGACCTTCTCCTCCCCCTATTTTCTATAGTTAATTCTTTTTTAGTTTAAACTTTTTATTTCCACACACTCCCATCCAACTCTTTTCCAAGGTTTTGATACCATCACTGTCCTTGAGGACCTCGGATCTTCCTTATTTTCTATTTGAATTCTTTCTTTTTATTTCTCTTTCTTGAATGTCTGAAAAGAGAATGCAGGCAGATTAGAGATCAGCCTCTGCTCACAAACACATTTAACTCAAAGCAGAAATTTTTAAAATTTATGCATATAGTAGTTTTAAATATTTTATTCTGTAACTTTTGGATTTGGGGTGTAAAACAGCAATTTGATAATTCAGCTCATTTGTAAGGAATCCCTCAGTAGACTCCTCGCTAGCCCCCCCCCTTTTTAAGCGATTTAGGATAAAATGCACATAACAACAGTTTGCCATCTTACCTGTTTTGAAGTGTACAGTCCAGTGGCAGTAAGTACCCTTACATTGTTTCACCACCCCCATCTCCAGAACTCTTTCCATCTTGCAAAACTGAAACTCTTCACCCATTAAACAATAGCTCCCCATTCCTTCCTCTCCCCAGTGCCTGGCAACTACCATTCTACTTTGTCTCTAGGATTCGACTCCTCCAGGTGCCTCATTCACAAGGCTGTCTTAAGAGGATGTATTTGAAAAGGGGGTTATATGATATCTCTGAACAATGAAGTCTTTGGGTGGTGATTAATTCTCCCAGTTAATGCACACTGCAACTCACAGCTTCATGTGACCGCATTCCAGCAGAGTTAACAGGCTGATCATCTCCTGGGAGGGCTTTTCTTCCCGTAGCCTTGGTTCCAAGGCCCTGCATGGAACCTGGCCACAGCCCCCCTGTGGAGGCGGGATAATAGGATGGGGAAGGCTGTGGATGTAATCCTAGGACCCAGGCACAGTTCCTCAGTTAGCTGCTTACCTGCTGTGGGATTTGGGCCAAGTCCCTCCACCTCTCTGAGCCTCATCTTCCTTCTCTGAGACGGGACAGTACTTTCTGTCATGTGGACAACCCAAAATCGGTGAGATAGATAATGGACTTCCCCTTGGCAGTTTTGAGGATCCTAGCACAGTGTTCAATTGTGATTAAATGTAAGGGAAATGGGACTCCTGATCCCCATGTTACAGAAGCAGCAGAGACTTAGAAGTGGTGTGACAGGCCTGAGGTCATTCAGCACTTGGGCGTCGACCCTGGGCTGAAACCCAGCCACCCTCAGTCACAAGCAGCAGCTACTGTGGGTTCCTCGTTGGTCAGTCTTTTGATGGGTAGGAGACTGTGAAACAAATAGTTGCTTTCCCATCTTACTGGATTGAAAACATTGCCCAAGAAACTCTCTTGTTGGTGGGCCTGCAGGGGAGGACACAGGGTGAAGGTTTTGGTGCTGAGTCAAGGACAGTGATTCTGCATCATGGGAATAGAGTCCTAAAGCATTTCTGTGGTGATCATCTTGCCCAGGGACAACACAAATCTTGCACTTCACAGTTACTGCCCATACTAGGCCCGTGGCAAACATCAGTCAATCACAGGCACTCCCACTGAGCCTGGACACAGCTCCAGGATCCTTCTTACCACAGGCAGGTACTCCCAACGACCCGGAAGTAGCACACCCAGTGCGATCTCCAACCTAGTACAGTCCCGAGCTTTTACAGACAGATGGCAGTCCTGGGAGGGAAGGGACTGCTTCAGGAGCAGGTGATGTCACAGGTCTCTCTGTGAGAGCAGAAAAGGGTCCTTTGGCAGGACAGCCCAAAGCCTGGAGAGGTGTGATGAGTATGCTTGCAAAAACATCGCGGCACAGCAGCTCCCAGAGGGATAGAAGTTGTCGAGGTAAAGTCCAGTTTCTTCAGGTGCTCTTTGGGGGTGCTGGCTTGGGCATGAGGTCTTTGTGGAGGTGCACTCTCCACCAGCAGAAGGAGACCAAACTTGTCTTTCTACAGTGGCTTCTAGCTTTGAGGGAATGTGTGCGGTCTTAATCGTCAGTGAGCTTGTGTTTTTACTATTTGTGACACTGGATGCTGTGAAGGTTGGGTTCTGGAGATTGAAACCTATAGGGTTTGCACTCACTTAGCAGATTGAATGTGACTTGCTGTGTGACGCTGAGCAAGTCCCTCAACCTCTCTGAGCCTCCGTTTCCTCAGCAGCACAAGGGGAGATGGTGAAAACATATCCTGAGGGGATCAAATATAAGACGCAGGTGTAAGGACCTCGGACAGTGACTGGGCCACTGCAGTAGCCACCGATTCCTGAGCAGACACTAAACACTGGTAATTATGACTGTTAGCCGCTAATCACCCACTTAGTACCCTGTGCCATTGTGGGGGCAGGGCTCCGTGGGCAGGGTGGGGAGGTTGGTGACCTTTCACTTTGGGTGGGTGTTCTTTCAAAGAGATCTCCCCAAGTTCACCATAATGTGCTTTCAGAGGTGGTTGGGAAAAAATTGACGAGGGACGGGTCCGGGGGCATGAGGAGGGAGCCTGTAGTCACGACTTGTCCCAGGGCCTCTGTCTTCGGCTTGCCAAGTCACTTCTTACAGATTCTTTTCTACTTGCTGTGTCCTCAGTCTTCTTCCGGGGGAAGGCCCTGTAGGCCTGTACCACTTTTGGGGTAAAGTCAGAAGCAGGGTCCTATCTCCTAAATGTCAGCAGACATTTGCCTGGGCACCTCTTCTGGGCTGGAGACAGGGTTATAGGGGTGGAAACCACATAGCCTTCAGGGGCCTCAGGGTCTAAAGGGAGAAGGAGAAAAGCAAACAGCGCAATGCCGAGGGCCTGGAGCACATCTAAACATGGGGCGTGGACCCAGCGAAGGAGCCAGTCAGGGAAGGCTTCTTGGAGGGAGCCATGCCGGAACTGAGATCTGGAGGAGGCGGCGGAATGAGGGAGGAGGTAGGGTGTTGCAGGCAGGGAACAGCCCATGCCGAGGCCTGGAAGCTGAGAATGTGATGTGTTGGCAGGAAGAGGGTGGTGGGGAGAAAGGGGAGCTTGGCAAGGCAGGGACACCAGTGGTCACCAACCAAAACTATCAGACGGTGATACTTGTGTGACGTGGAGGGGATGGGCAGCTGTGGGTCCTCACACAGGGCACTGAACCCACCTGCCCCAGCCCCTGGCCTGCGGAGTGCCTCGGAGGGGCTGGGATGGGGCAGCGGCTGCATGGGCCCCCACCAGGCCCTTTCGCACCCGCTTCTCCAGACATTCACAGCAGTTCTAGGGCAGGGGGCAGGGCAAACAGCTATCAGTGGCATGTTATGGATGAGAGAAACTGAGGCCCAGGAGCCTAGTGGTACCGTGAGTGAGTGCAGAGCTAGTGCTCAGAAGCAGGTAGCGGGTGCTGACGGATCTCCTGTTCTAAGGGTGGGCTTGTCATCTCAGGTGGGGGCTCTGTGCTGCCAGACTTCCCGGAGGAAGGCATCTTAAACCCCGTCTGTGCCGAGGCCCTGGTGCTAGTCCTCACATCATTTCCCATGTAGCTGGGCTGAATGAACATTCTTCTCTGTCTTTTTTGCTTGTTGATAACAATTCTCTGGATGGGAAAAAAAAAAGCTTGAAGTATGAATGTCACACATGCACACAAATGATGCCTGATGTCCCATCCAGAACTGGGTGTGATGTAGGAGGGTAAAGAAAGAACAAACAACTCGGGCTTGGATGGAATCTGAAGGGTCACACCCATGAGGGCTTGTGTCTTCTCCCAGCAGCCATCATGCCTGTGTCTGGCCTCGCTGCACCCTCCTGGGCAGCTCTGCCCTTTAGAAAGGCCTCCTTGTAATGCAGAATCTGGTTCCCCTTAACAGCCTCACCTTCCTGTCCCCACTCGGGTTGTAGTGTGATGACATGGAGCACATGTGTGTGCAACATCTTCCAGGTATTTGAAGACAGTAGCCATGCTTTTCTGAATTGGCTTTCTTGTCCGGAACACCATCCCAGTCTCTCCAAGCCCTTGCTCATGTTGAACGAGGCGTGACTCATGGTACACATGTATCACACCCCATTTGTGGCAGATTTCTGACAGGCAGCACTAACCAGTCATAGCATTCGTGATCAGTCAGTCCCGGCTTTCTCAGGCTCCCTGTGGCCCCGCCCAGCAGAGGAGGCATTTCCTCGCCACCTCGGCATTTACTGCATTTACTGCATTTACTGTGAGTTGTCTCAGCACAAGGACTTACTCGTCCTGGATCCTCCTGCCTGCCCAGGACCCAGCGTGGGAATTCCCCGCTGTAAAATAGGTATTTGTCATCACGGATGGATTTGAGACTTCTGCCCATGTGGATTGCCTTCTCTTCGGGCTCCAGCTGGGCAATGCCCCTTGTCCAGAGTCGCCAGCATCACGACCACAGCATCATCCCGAGTTCAGTGGGGGCTGCCCCCCCCCCCCCGCCCCGGTCCTGTCCCGTACCTTTTCTGTCAGTGCAGCCTCAGGCCGTGTCTGTGGTCAGCAGGAGTCACTAAGGCATTTTCCCACACGTGCTGCTTTCTTATGTAATGGTCTAACATGGGATCCAAACTCAAAATCTTAATATAAGCTCTGAGGACTAGGCCCTCTGCCTTCTTACGTCTCTGTCCCCAGGCCTGGCACCAAGGCAGGCGGCACTGCCAGTGGTGACCTGACCTGAACCCAAGGTTTTCCCCATTCAGTTCCATCCTGTTTGTTTCATCCCATCTCTCAGCTCCCCAGGCTTCTTGGCTCCTGATCCTGTCACCCGATATACCACCTGTCACTCTAGGCACAGTGAATGAGCCCGTTAACACCTTTTTTCTATTCTGGGATCCTCTCGGTCATTCAGAATGATGAAAGAGGCCAGCAATTCGGGTGCATGGGGCCTGGCAGTGTCTGGCTCTGGACACAGGGGCCTGTGACAGCTTATAAAAAGCCAGGCTTTTGTGACTCATCACCAGGGTTTGACGTCAGCCCTCCAGAAGTGAGGGTGGTTTTTTAAGGCTTTTTCTAAGTTGCATTTCCCAGACCGGGCTCCTGAGACCTTGGAAAGGCAGCAATGAAGCCCACATGCTAGGGCCGGTATTTGAAAAGCCAAATCTTGGATTCTCCACACCACCCCCCCAACTCCCCACCAGGCCAGACAAGGGACTGTACACATCCGCTTTTTACACGGCCTGCAGCCACAGCAGCCCGTCACTCCGGGTATCATCTACTCCGCAGCATCCCCTCCTAGTGGTTATAACTTTGACATACAACAAGAAAGTCATGATTCAGTAACTGCAGCTTGGAAGCTGGCATCTCTTTAAAGCTCGGACTCCCAGGGGTGGTGGTAATAGGTGTCCTGGGGGGTAGGGCAGGGGCCCCTGAGCAGAACTGCTGGCAAAGCGGACTCCACAGGCAGGTCTCGGAGGATAAATAAGATAGCAAGACGATGTTTGTGGCAGATTCCAACACAGAAGGGATGAGGAGGGGGGTGCCTGGCTGGCCTGGTTGGTAGAGCGTGATCTTGGATTTGTAAGTTCAAGCCCCACATTGGGTATAGAGCTTACTTAAAAATAAAATCTTAAAAAGAGAGAATGGGCGAGGAGTGAATGTTGCCTGACAGGTTGCTTACCGGATACTTTGCCGTAATGGTAGAAGTGGATTTTGAGAATAGCATGCTATTTGGGGTCCCCTGGTCGGGCTGGAGGAGGTAGGGCTGCCTCCCTGAATGCTTGGAGCTGGTGGTCTCCAGGCTGGGAACCTGAAGGCATCTTCCTTTCTCAGTCTGGGGAGAAGAGGGACACACCCACACTTAGAGCCCCAGGCAGAGGCCCCTGCTCTGCCACTTGATCCTCAGAGAGCACATGTGCCTTTCTGATCCTCAGTTTCTTCCTTTGTACTATGAGGAGGTTGAAGTTGTGTGGTGGGTCTCAGGGTACTGTGTGGGAATTCCATATGGAGAAAAAATGGGAGCCGCTCTGAGGGACCTGGAATGGGATGGGAGTCAAAAAGGCCTTCCTCAGTTCCCCCCTGGGGGCCCTCAGAACCTGGTTTGAAAATTACTGGCATTATTATCTCCTAGGACTCTGGAATTTGGAGGCTCCTCCTCCTCATTTCTAATCCCAGCACCCCTGCAACCAGCTGTGTGATCTCTCTGGGCTTTACTTTGAAGCTGTAGTGAGAGCCAAGCTGGGGGAATCCTGGGCAACTGGGGAACCCATGTCAAGGGTTCTGGTGTTTCTGGTGAGAGGGCCAGAGTGTCTGGGACCACACACCTGGAGGAGAAGGGCCTGAGGAAGGGCAGTGGGCCGCAGTGATCACAGACGGGGATGGGGGGGCCACCTTTTCCTTCCACGTGCTAGGGTTCTGGTCCAGGGGGCACCAGGCCTCTGCCCCCATGGCCAGCAGAGCCAGAGGCTGCCACCTTCTAACTTACTCAGGAAATCGTCAGACCCTGCTTGAGGGCCCCAGGAGCGGAAGCCCGTCTAGGTCCTGCCTGGGGAACTGGCCTGGCTGAGATCTCAGCCAGGCGCTGCTGGGTGGCACCAGACTCCAGCCGTGGGCATCATGGTGCAGCAGTAGCTACAAGCTCTGGCTCTGGGATCAAAAAGGCTGAGCTCAGATCTGGGCTTTTCCACTGTGCGACCTTGGGTTGCACGGACCTGCCTGCCACCTAATGTGGCACAGGGGTCTGTGACTGCTGGAGCAGTGGTCCTCACTGGCTGTGCGACCTAGGGTTGCTCACTTCTCTCTGAGCTTCATTTTCTTCCTCTTTGAAACGGGAATGGTCAGCCTGGTAAAGAGGTGGTGAGCTGAAACCCTTAAAGTGCTTCATGCTAGGCCAGCTCAGGGCCACCCTCAGCCGGGGGAGGGGCCCTGGAGCTTGTGAAGTCTCCCGACCCACTGCTTCCCGTCCTGGAGACCCAGCTGAGCTGCACTCTGGGTCCATCTGGAGGGCATTGTGTAACCCTTCCTCTGCCCCTCTGGCCTGAACGTGTCAGGACAGAACCCTCACACACCCTTGCCCCAGCTGGGGCGCAAACCGTGCTTCTGAGGAGCAGAGCAGCTGTCCCCGGGGCAGGGGGCAACCAGGTGGGGTCCTCTCAAGCAGCTGCTCCAGGCCCATGAAGGGGGTTGGCCATCTGCACTCCGGACCCTGTCCTCTCCCCCCACCTGTGCCCTGGTGCCAAGAACCTGAAGCCGGACCTGGCCTGCCGACCAGAAGGGGCTTTCTCTGCTTTCACCCAGCCAGACCTGAGACACCATCAGAAGTACCTCCTGGCTGCTTAATTTCAAGGTTCCCAAGGGTGTCCTGCCTTTCCAAGGGGGAGGGTCTTGCAAACAGAGCAGGGGGAGAGGGAGCCGGGGAAGAGGGGCTAGAGCTCCAGAAAAAGCAAAGAGGTCTGAGGACCGCTGCTCCAGCAGTCACAGATCTATGTGCACATTAGGTGGCAGGCAGGTCCCTGCACAGTGTTTTTTAAAACTTTGACTGAACTCATTCCATTTAAAAATATAAGGGTTTTATTATTTTTTTTTTTTTAAGTCCAGATTTCTTTCTTCTGTCATCCGGTTCCCACATGGCAGCTGTGGACCCAGAGGGGTTAGATAAGCAGTCTCCTATAGACATTTGAACTTGTGACCCCCATTCAAGGTCAGTCTGCTTAGTTTGCAGCTGGGGAAACTAAGGCCCAGAAAGGATCAGGTCCTGTGCAAGGGACACTGGCCCACCACGTCCAGTGTTGAGTTTAGAACCTGGCACCTTGGTCTCATAGAACAGAGCTTTTCTACGCTGCCACTCAAAATGAAAAGCCTGCTCCCTCATCTATAAAACATCAGTGATAATTATCTCCCCTCCCAGGCCTATGTCTGGAATGAAGTAGCACCTGGGCAGGACTCATTCAGTAATGATTCTTTTAAATCTGAACTTGTGATACGCCTGGCCTGGAAAATGTTGCTGGAAGCACTGCTTGCTTTCCCTCTCTGCCAACTTCTAGGAATGGTTATTTCCAAACAATTTCTGATACCCATTCCTTAGGATTTATTGAGCTCTCATTCCCACAGCCTCATTACCCAACTTCAAACAGCGTTGCTCAAGGCTTTACATCCCACCAGACTGTGTCCCTATAGTGCGCCTGTATGTGTGCGTGTATGTGTGTGTGTTTTGGGACTGACCTAAAAGGAGCTCAAAGCCCTGGCCCTGGGCAATGGATTCCAACTCAGACTCAGGAGTAGATCATTTTGCTTCCTTGAGCCTCAGTTTGCCCAACTGTCAAATAGGGAGTTGTTCATTTATTCGGTATTTACAGAACCCAACCATGTATTGGCCTGGTGCTGTAAATTATACAAGATATTGAGGGTCTCCACCCTCGGGAACCTGTATTAGATACTCAGGATCCCTTTCTGGTAGGAGAGCGACAGAAGACAAGTAAACCAGTAAGTTGCTTAATGCATGAATGAAACAGGGTGGTCAGAGAGGTCCTTTTGAGGACCTGACTCCTGAGCAGAGACAGATCAGGATAGGAAGGAGTAGACATGCAAAGATGAGGGTGGGGATCATTTCACAGGTTCAGCGGCCCTGAGGTGGGCACATGCTCAGAATGTTTGAGAACAGCAAAGAGGCTAGTGCGGCTGGAACAGAATGAGCAAGGAGAAGGTATAGGAACCGAGGCTGGAGATGGGGGGATGGGGAGGCCAGTTCTTATTGTAGGCCAAAGTGAGCAGTGTGCCTTTTATTCTTCATGGAGTGGGGAGCCTTTGAAGGCTTTAGAAAGGGAAGGAAGTAGTCCATTTTGTACTTTAAAAAGATTCCTCAGGCTGCTGTTGGGAGAGTGGTTGTGGGTGGGTTGGGCCACTGACAAAGCAGAAAGGAGAGGGGACAGAAAGTGGCAACCTAGACCAGGCTGGTGGGGATAGAAGCCAGTCTCTATAAAATGTGCTTTTGTGGGGGAGGGGCAGATGGAGGTGGATGGGAAGGGGGGGCATTCCCAGGCTTCTGGAGTGTGTAACTGAGTGCATGAGGTCCCCGCTCTCTTGAGAGCAAGGCCATTGTGGGGGAGAAAGGGATTCAGATTCATTCTGGACACTCTCAGCTTGAGATGGCCTTGGCACTTTACGTGGAGCTGCCTGGTGCACTGGGCTATTGAGACAGGAGGTGATCTGCCCTCCGGCTGCTGTCAGGTCTGGTGCTATAAAACCCTGACTGCAGGCCAGTTGGGACGGACTTTATGAGGGATACTGCAGGTAGGAAGAAGATGCCTCTGTTCCTGACAGCCCCAGGAAGCCAAGGACACAGCCCTCAGGCCTCCTTGCCTTGGTCCCTGTCTTCCCTTCACTGGCAACATTACCTCAGTCCTACTTGGCCAAGCCGTGCCCTGCCCACAACGGTCTTCTCATGCCTTGGGGGCTGTCCTGTCCTGCTCCTTTGCTCACAGAGGATCCCTTCACATGAAAGCCCCACGTTTCCTTGCCAGTGGGTGACTGGGGTCCCCAGGAGGTGATCACTCTCTCCTTGATCCAGAAACCATGGTAACAGTAGTTGCAGGGGCCCCGCCCATGATTATAAAGCTTCCTATCTGTCATCTCTTTGGCTCCTACTCAGGGCATATTGGGTAGCACACCCCATTTCTGGGTGAAATCATTGATGTGCCCAAGGGTGCTGCCTCCACATGACCCTCACCCACTTAGTGCAGTGGGTGGGGGGCACAGGGTAGTAGCCTTCCGGCAGCCCAGGTTTAAGCCCCAGCGCCAACACTGCCTCTCTGGGAGGTGAGCTAGGTAGGGCATTGTTCCGCCCCTCTGAGCCTCATCTGTAAACTGGAGCAGTGGCAGACCTACCTCGCATGCACCCATTTTGAGGATTCAGTTGGCTGGAGTGCAATCCATCCTCCTCATTTGCAGTAGTTACGTTCATGAAGTCTGACAAACGCTGAATTAGTGAATGCGTTCTGAACCATGGCTCCTGGGGGAAATCGAGACCCTGCAAGACTTTGGTCACATTTCCACCAGCCAATCAATACATAACCTTGTTTTCTGCGTCTTTCTGTTTAAAAATAATATACTAATGGTTTATTAACACTGAATTGGCCAATAGCACTATGACTCATGCCCGCACAAGGCTTGTTGGATACCTATTTTCTCCACAGGCACATCACGGCCTTCTTCAGCGCTATGGAGAAATCACCAACAGAAAGAATAAAAATGTGAAAAACATATCCCTAAATAGACCAGGAAAAGCACAGTGGTTTATAGTAGGAGAGCTGAAACAAGAAGGCAGGGTGTCCCCTTGTTCAAGCTTAGCTAGGAAAGCGTGCACTGGGTGGGTGGCTCCGCTTCCCTGTGCGCGTCTGGCAGTGACCACAAAAACGCCGTGGGTGTCGGTTTCGGGGTTACAAACAAATGTTATCAAGTAGGTGAATTCGGATAGGGTCCCGAGCCATGGGGACTGTGTATGAAGCCCCTGCTCAGGCCTGGCCCAGCCAGTGCTCGGTAAGGGCCTCTGTTGGCATCGGAGCGCATCCTGGTTCCGAGACAGGACTCCAAGTGTGGGGCCGGGGCTCCCTGAGCTTTGTTGCTTTGTCTTCCCCTGTGTGCCACGTTTGTGACCTCTTGGCTCCTGTGCACGTTGGGGTCCGAGGCAGGTGTCGATTCTGGAGGCCCTGAAGGCCCCCGCTGAAGGGTTTGTTCCAAGTCCACTGGGTGGGTTGTGGCACCATGGAAAGGTTTCAGACTAAGCCGTGATGTGGTTGCATTTCTCAAGTGGCCGACCAAGGTGGAGGAGGGACTGGA